AAGGGGGTCCCAGCTGGGTGCTGTGCAGGGGTCCTGGGTGCTGAGCAGGGGTCCTGGCTGGGTGCTGAGTATTTCCAGCCCTGAACCCCTCCCATGTCTTATCCCCCCATTTCCTTGCAGGGCTGAAGCCACCCACAGACACGCGTACTCCCAGAAGGAGCCAAGGAGGTCACAGTGGAGGCCCCATGAGCAGCATCTCCCTCCACCTCTCTAGTCTGTCCTTCTCCTGAGGGGCTGCTGGGTGCTGCACCCCAGCTGTGGCTCCCGACCCTCTCGGGCCTGTTGGCCACGTTGTCCTTTGCCACTTGAGAGCCCCTCAGCTGATGAAGGAAGCACAGGGTCCTGGTGGGCTGGGATGCAGCAGCCAGGACATGTCCCCTGCAGCAGCCCTGGCTGGTGCCACCTCCACCAGGGACAGGCTGCCTGGGGCTCTGCCACCAAATATGGCGAAAATAACTCGTCGCCACCGACGTGATGGGGATAAGCAGGCACGGGGGATATCTCCTCCTAGCGTGTCCTGAGCTGCATTACAAGCAACAGGTTTTGTAACGCGTCCTGTTGTTTCCATTATTGAGCCTCAAAATGCACAGAGCGCCCGCTTTTAATTGCTCATGAAGTTTCACCTTTACACTGATCGCCCCCCTTTAGGATCTTTCGAGCTACAACACTTCATACCTACTCATTTCTAACAAAAAATCATTGCTTACCCTCTTGGGTTTAGGTCACAGAATCACCAAGGCTGGAAAAGAGCTTGAAGATCAAGTCCAGCCTATGACCAAACCCCACCAACCACACTGGCTAGACCCCATGGTCCTTGATGTTCAAACCAGGTTGGGATGGGGAAAGGGGACATTCAGGCAGCATAACTGGTTACTGTGACCTGGGCCACCCCGTGGTAGATCCAAGATTGATGATTGTATTATTCTTTCCACGGTAGCTGCTTAAGCATAATATCTTACTCTTTATTTAACACTAGACCTTAGTTACTTGTACGTGCCCCTTGTCTAGTACCTGGGGTTTCTGTAACTACTGGAGTAAAACACAACCTCCCACTCCCCCTCTCCCAGCATGATTCCTGTGTGGACAGTTTCTCCTCAAAGCTTTGCCTTGGTCGGGCCCTCTAAATCATCAACATTTAGTCAATTCTGTAACAGCTCCCTTGGGGTTTTGGAGTGGCTCTCAAAGGTCTTGGCACCAAGAGGCTCAAGGAGACACACAGAGCTGGGACAGCCAGGGTTGGGGCTGGGGAGAACAGAGTAGCCAGGCTCTTTTCCTGGTGGATCCCAGGAGCTTCTCAAAGCCATGGGAGCTTCTCAAAAAGCACCTGGCTGCAGGGAGATGGTGGCTGCAGGGAGATGGTGGCTGCAGGGAGATGGTGGCTCCAGGGAGATGATGACTCCATGGACATGATGGCTCCAGAGCTCCTAGCTGCAGATCTCCCAAAGGATACATGAATGGGGATGGAGCTAGCAGAGGTGAGAGCCTGAGGAATGGTGATGGAGGGCTTGGGATGCTCTGGACTATGGCTGGACTCCTGCCAGGAGCTATGGATGGGCAACATTCCCTTGGAAAACCAGCAGAGAGCTCGGTGTAGCTTTGGTGAGGAGCCTGCAGCCCTGGTATTCCTCTAGCCAGAAACTGGGAGATGCCCTCAGGCTCAAGTGCTGGCTGGGAAGGGAAGCAGCCTGGAAGGGTGGTGGGGATTGCTCCCACCAAACTTGGGAGTCTGGAGCCAGTGGGGACCAGTTCCTCCCCGCAGCTGTGCACAAACAAAGCCCTGTTCCCAGAGAAGCCCACCTACCTGGTCGTTAGCAGAGTCACGTGGCTGCACTTCATTAATAATGAGCCTGTATAAATCCTGGGAAGCGTGTGGGGAGGAGGACCTGGAGGCAGAGAGTGGTAGCAGAGTTCCCAGCCGGACCCATCTGCGTGGAGAGGTCAGTGCTGGCAGGGGAAGGGTCTGGGGGCATTTGGGGTGTGATACCCCCGGCCATGGGTCTCCCAGGTGGGTTTTTTGGGGGGATAGGGAAGTGAGGAGGGGCCAGGATGGCTCTGGACTGCCCAAGTCAAGGCTGGAGACCTTGGGTAGGTGGCCAACACTTGCTATTCCCCAGCTCTGTGTGTGGTCTGTCCAGTCCTTCCCAGTCCTTCCCAGGGTGGTCTTCCTTCCCACTGAGCCCCCCCCTCCAGTCCAGCCTCCCCTTCTTCTGGGCATTATGGATTCACCATCACCTTCCTCCCCTCTGCTGCACCCCTCCATGAGCAGGGAGGACACCCTGGTAAGGGGGCATCTTCTGATGGTGGTGTCCATGTCCCAGACAGTGGAGGCTTTGCATCCCAACAATTCCTGCCTGGAAGCTGGGTGGCCCAGCGTTGGTGGGTTTTTCACAGAATCATGGAATGGTTTGGGTTGGAAGGGACCTTAAAGATCATCCATTCCCAACCCCCCTGCATGAGCAGGGACACCTCCCACCAGCCCAGGCTGCTCCAAGCCCCATCCAACCTGCCCTTCAACACTGCCAGGGATGGGGCAGCCACAGCTTCCCTGGGCAACCACAAGAATGTGACCTCATGGCGGGGGGTGCCCCATGGCACGTGTGCTCACTCTGGAGGATCCAGGTGAAGCTGCCAGGCTCGTGGTGGCCTGAGAAAGGTTCTCAAGTCCCAGAGAGCAACCAAATCACCTGGAGCTGGTGGTGGCTGTGCCAGCAGAGGCTGCCCAGACACGGGTGCTGCCCAGGGAGCTGACACTGTTGGGACCCCTCCGTGCAGATTGTCCCCCAGGACCATGCTGAACGTGCTGCTGCTGTGCTGTGGGCTGCTGCAGGGCATCCAGGCTGTCCTGGCTGCCGAACCGGGCCATGGCCACCTGAAGAAGGGCATGGAGGGGGCAGACAGAGCAGGCTTCTCCAGCCTGCTGCGGGAAGCCAAGGACGCGTCTGCAGCGCCGGCTGGTGAGTCCTGTGGCCCCTCGTCCCCTCACCAGCTGTTTGCTGGGACACCCAAGGCCCCCAAATTGCTCTGGGGACCCCCCACAAGGGGTGAGACACAAGGGATTCCCTTCAGACAGAGCAGCTTCTCCTGTCGCTGGCTGAGAGCAGCCTGGTGTGGGGGGATTATATTTGGACACACACACACAAAAGCAGATGATGGTGGGGGGCTTTTT